GCCAGTCTTCCAAGCCTGAAATCCAAGAACAAAGTCAAGGACATGAACGATTCACTAGTGCCTAAAGTCTCAATAGAATGAGCAAGCCAACAGGAGTAGTCTATCCCCAAGAGTCCCCATGCCTCCACCAAAGGGTAGTCACCACAAGCTTCACAGACTCCTGCCAAAAACTGTCCCAAGTGACATCCAGCAGCCCCAGAACACTCCTTAGTTTAGAAGTGGGGTAACATCCCAGGTACAAGTCAGAGTGACCCATGGAGCCCATGCAGATGGTAAAATGTCATCAGTCTTGCTGTGGTGATGATCTCAAGAGAAATTACTGACACTGCATGTAGCTAGAGACCAGGACAAGTCAACCAAAGAAAGGAAGCCTTCCAAACACTCATCTGGTCTAAAATCAGGCTTCCCTCCCCAAATTCTACAATGTATATGGACAGAAGAGCACATGGCCCCAGGACTGATGATGGGTCCTTACTCTAGATTTTATTATGGTCCTGATCCTTAGGGTGAGCTACAGCCTTCATGTCCACCAGAGTTCGTTCCTTACCACAGAATGATGCCTTTATGTATCCCACATATTTCCCAAAACCTCTACCCTTCACACCTTGGGGGTCTTCCTTGATATTCACCTCCTGGTGAGTCTAGTCATTTCAACCAAGTGGCATGGCATTGAGCCCTGGGCATGCACCATGGCTCAGGGCCAGCACTGTGCCTTTTAGAGCATGAGTAGACCTGAGAGTTTATTCCTGAGTTGATGGAAAGTGGAATGTTATGAAACGTGTGTCAAAATTAAAGCAATAGGAGTCAAGCTGATGAATAGCAAATAGTGAGGGCTTTTGGATCACATCCTCTCTGTGTGCCTTCATCAGTCTTCAGATATGAGGCTGCACTTTTCCTCCATAGAGGGACATGTGGTGCTTCTGACTGCTTCAGGAAATTGTCAGGAAGTCCTTCCTAGGTTTTATGAGCGGTTTCAGGGGAAGATCTGAGTCCTTCCTCACATTCTTTCATCCACTCAAATAACTTCCTATGTCAAGCCCCATGTTTTGAGATGTCATATTCTGAGTGCCATCAAGTATGAAATAAAGCCAAAGGTCTGGGTATAATTAATGACTGTGTTCATATCATGTTCTGTGCATGTCATTTTGCATCAAAGTTTTAGTAATTCTTGTTTTAAAAGTATTTAGTGATTGAAATATATAACTAATTTCTCTAACTGGAATGTTTTTCACTACGTCTTTGAGACTTTGGTATTCTAAAATACGCAGTAACCATGAAGGATATTTAACTTATGAAGTGCCTTGGAAATTTTTACCCTTGTAAGAATGTTGCATTTGGTTAAGTATGTGGTGATTGCTGTAACTGGTTAAATGCTAAAACCTGAACTGTCCACAGGGGCCTGCAAAGCACTCCTGATGACCAATAGCCTTTGGACCTGAGAAGTGTACTAGGAACACAGGACAGACTCACAAAGGCACAATGCCAAGAAGAACATGCCATTTCATTGAATCATTCTGGAACCTTCCTTGGTGCTTTTGCATATTCACTGGTGGTTTCCAGTGAACTCACTTACCTGCATGGCAGAGTAACTTCACTTTTGCCTTCTCGCATGAATTACTCTGGACCAGCAGTTTCTGCAAGCTAGACACACAGCAAACCTCTACTCACCAAGAATTCTTACTTTTAGGGTGAGCTCTTATTGAGAGTATCATTCATTTGAAACAAAATTTTGCACAAAATTTTCACAATGCCCTTTAATATTTAAATATTTTCTAACTTTCAGAACCACAAGAAAACCCTCTTAAGGCAGAAAGCCATGAGTTGATCATGAAAAGTACCAGGGAAGGGCCAATGAGATGGGTAGCTGTGTGGAAGGAAAGAGCTGACTCCTCCTAATTTGTTCATTGACCTCCATATGAACAGAATGACAAAATGGCATGGTGTGTATTGTATGTTCATTCTCTGTCTATTGTATGTAGGTATTTCTCCATCTCCAAATAAGTAAATAGATGAATATTATTATTTTAAACACCAATAGGAAGATTTCCATACATTCATCATATGAAATAATTAATTTTTAAAACATGAAAAAGATTACATGCAGCTCACAACTGTTTGTAACTCCAGTTCCAGAGGTTTTGACGCCCTCCTACAGGCATACATGAAGACAAAACACCAATGTACAAAAAATAATTAATAAACAATTAAATATTTGTAGGAGCTAGTGGGGTCAGGAGCCCCACAAGCATCCTACAGAACTAACTAACCTAGGCTCATAGTGATTCACAGAATGAACCACCAACCAGGGAGCATGCATGGGACAGACCACTGTCCTCTGCATGTATTTTATAGTTGTATAACTTGGTCTTCTTGTGAGACTCCTAACAGTGGGAGCAGGGCTTGTCTCTAATCCCTGCTTTTGGGACCCATTCCTCCTACTGAATTGCTGTGTCCAGCCTCAATGTAAGAAGTCATGCCTAGTCCCACAACAACTTGATATAACATGGCAGGCAGATATGCACAGGAGGTCTGCCCATTTCTGAAGAGAAAAAAGAGAAGGAGGAATGGATGGGGAGCAGGAAGAGTAGATGTTGGGGGAAGGACTGAGAGGAGAGGACTGGAGGGGAAATTTTGGTTAGGATATAAAAAAAAAATAAACAAATAGATAACAACATTCATTCCAAAAGAGGGAGAATATTGATGGTTATCATATTTAAATTTGAAATAGTAAAAGCATGTCCTTCAAGGTACATTGCCACTTATTCTAACTTTATAAAGTGTTTGCAGTTGTACATAATGGTTAAATAATATTAGGCATACTTTTAGCTGGTCTAATACATAATGTGTTTGCATTGTACTTGGATTAATTAGATCATGTTTAGAAATTATTAGGACCTGGTTACTGTTTTACATTTGGAAATTAATCATGACATAAAAATATATAATTGTGTGTCAAGTTGACAAGGGTGCAATTGTCATAGCTATTTTTGTTAGTCAAATTTATTACATCTGGAATGAACTAAAACCCACAAATGGAATGGCACACCTGTGAAGTATTTTTGCTTAATTAGAAGAGAGAAGGTCCACATGTAATCCCGATTTTTGCAGTATGAAGACATATCTTTAATCTGGATATTGATGGGGGAAGAAATGCCTTTACCTCTGATGTTTTGAGCCAAAAAACCCCACTTGTAATCTCAGCCAGGCCTTGTGCTGGAAGCCCATATAACGAAATGGAAGAAGGGAGCTTTGCTCTTTACCTGCTTGCTCTCACCTTGGTAGCAAGTCCATGCCTTCACTGGCATTGGAGCCAAATGCTTTGGGATTCCAGACTATACTGCTAATGGGCTGAGACATCAAGCATAGTGGACTGAGCAACTCCTGGATTCAAGGACGTTGCCATTATAGCCAGCCAATGTTCATTTAGCTGGACCACAGCCTCAAAGTCATAGGGTATAGAAGTATAGAACTTTTAGAGTAGTTTGGGCCTGACAACAGCCTTATCTCAGTTCTAAATTCCACATGGTCACATTCCCTTAACGTGCTTTTTAGGTGATGCTTTGATGCTAGCCTACAAGGTTTCTATAGCTTCTGGGCAAGAAAGTAAAATAACACAAGTCTAAAATTTCTCAAATGGAACACACAGTAATCTAATTAAATAAGAAATTATATGAGATGGAGAGATTCTAGCTTAAGTGAGGAATGAAAAACCAATGTCTTAGCTTCTGTGGGCCAAGACGTGGCATAGCCCCACCACATGAAGACAGAGGACATGAGGTTCTTTTAACCCTTGATATGACAGCTCCAGTCTGGAGACTCATAGGATAACATCCTTTACACATGAACTCTCTGCCTCACTCTCAGTCTCAGGAGTCAGATATATTCCAGAGGAGCTTCACAAGAGTCAATCAGTCTCTGGAAGAACTTTCTCAATATAATCTGAGATCTGCTGTGGTAAAAGAGCAGCATCAACTACCTCTCTCCTTTTTAGTCTTGCACAGAATCACTCTGCACCAGAGACATGTGGCCCCTGATGCAGGCTCCATCCACTCCACCTAGTCAATGAGGTTCCTCCCAACATTGGTTATCTGGACCATCAAGTGGGATTCCTCACCACACCTCCACCCCAGCACAGTCAACCTAGAAGAGATCTAGCAAATCTGTGCCAGTCTGACAGTGAGTGATACTGGGGCAGGATCTTGAACCTCTGAGAGCCCTGCATGGATGTGTGGCAGCCTAAGACAGTTAGTATGCCTGTCCCAACAGGTTTCAAGAATCTTTTGGTTGGGAGTGATCCAATCCACCTAAGACAGCACACATGGCTGGGAGGACAAGGTCAATTGCAGGGACTGGAGAGATGGCTCATCCATGAAGAGCACTCATTGCTGTCTCAGAAGACCCACAGGACAGCTAACAAACCTCTTTAACCTAAATTCCAGATGGAATCTGCCCTCACCTGGCCTCTGTGGGAATTGCATGTACATGGTGGGCAAACACCCATAAGTACAAAGAAAAGCACCACAAAATATCCCAACATGTCTTTTAGGAAATTATCTCTTCTTCTCGGTTATCATTTCATGTTATATTTCAGGAAAACTAGAGGCAGATTGCTTTTCATTTTCTGATTTCTTTTATACAATTTTAATGAATATTCTTATTTCCTGAGAAGCCTAGAGCAATATTCTTGTGTTTTCATTTAATTTAGTCTACATGATGATTTCGTGAACATGTGTATACAGCATACCACATTTTCCTGGCAGCTAAATATATGACGTCAAGGATACAATATGTCTAGTTTTTCTATTATGTAGTGGGTATCCATGGAGTAGGCTATTCCATCCACATCCAAGGTGTCATCCTCCTGTGTAGCACTGAGACCTATGGCTGGGAAATGCTTATGCAGCCAAAGCTTCCTGAAACTTACTGAGATACATCCAAGCCTGTGAGTTCTGGGATTACAGCAGTGTGAAAACTCTTCTGACTAAAGAAGAGTCGCAGAGTGAAATTTGAAAATGGATTTTATTCATAAAAATACATTAATTTTACTCAATGGGGGCATTCAAAACAGCAGTCCTTATATACAATGTATAGCCTTAGCAAACTATTAAAACAGTGACAAGAATAAAAGAAATAACAATTAACAAAACCTTAAAACCAAAATGAAGAAAACCAAAATCTAAAGCATAAATATCCCAACATACAAACAAAAAAATATTAAGCAAATTTCAGGATCCTTTAGAATTTCATTATAAAAGAGCAAATGAGGTGAGGAACTGTCTTATTCTCTGCAGTGAATTATCTTCAGTAACACTTGCCCATGACATGGCGTCAGCTTCAGCACTGCACTAGAGAGAATCTTATGGTTTGGGTGTGGTCTGTCTGGATGGTAGTGTGATGTTAACACAGTCTTCCTTGTCAGATTTCTATCACATATGGAGTCAGCTTGTCAAAGCCCTTGATAGTAAGTCGACAGAAGAACTCTTGCTCACCCACATGTCCTCTCCATGTTGTTTTGCTCCTCACTGGGGCCACGTGCTGATGGATGTCAGGGTTCTTAGTAATTTGTGTTGTGTCCTCTGAATCTCAGACTATTTATGATACAATCTTTTCTCTGGGAATAGTGAACCACAGATGGGGATCAGATTGTGGCTGGATGGCCTGATGGTAAGTTGATATTTGCCTCACTATTGAGTTCACAGCTGAAAAGAGGTGGCATTTTCTGAGGAGGCTGTGAACCTGGAGTGTAGAATGTCATGCTTTCAAGGTGTCTCTCGCTTCTCCCAGCCTTCTCAGTTTTCTGAAGAGGTGCTGTCAGAGAAAATCAGCAAAGAAAATATGATTCAGAAACAGTTTTGCTTGCCACTGGCAAGAATAATCAGGGCCTATTAAACCATAGTAAACAAAAGTTAAGGAAGAAAACACACCCCATGAATAACCTGGCTGCTGGGGATGGGACTCAATGGTGGCTTACTTGCCTGGAACATAGTGTTTCTGCACCAGCAGCTCCTTCTGCAGGAGGCTGTCTTCCTGGGCTGTGGTCTGCTCCAGTTCCTGCTGGAGGTTTTCAAACCTAGGGGAGGAAGGCAGCTGGGGCACAAGCCTGGGGGGACCTGCCATGTCAGGTTTTTGAGCCCCCACCAGCTCTACTGAACTAGACAATCGAGCATTACCTTTCAGCTGAGTTCATTCCCTGCTTCCCCAAGGGAAAAGGGACAGAGAGCACCTGGGCAGGATTTTTTTTTCTCAGCTTTTAAAAAGTGCTAGAAGTTGAACTGAAATATACACACTTTGCTGGATTAGAAAAAAAAAAACAGCATATTTCTCTAACAGTCCAAAGACATCATTTTGGAGAAATATCAGTATGTCAAGGTCTGAGACACAGGTCAGGAAAGATATCCCTGGCCTTGATTAGATCAAGGTGAATGTGAACCTCCTGCAAAATTCTATGCCTGCCCTCTAGTGGAGCCTACACAGTAATGCAGAGAAGGCTCTGGTTATTCCTACAGCTCAGAACCCTGCATGGGATTACCTTGTCAGCTCCTACTTTATGACCAAAAGTAAATCTTCTCATGAGAAACTGATAAACACTGCAGAGAGCCTACAATCAGCAGTAGTGTGCTCTATGCAAAACTGCAAAGGGTGGACACTTATCTCTAAACGTGATGTTCCTGATGGAAAAGATGCAGGGCACACACTTTCCTTCATGATCAATGATCCTCCTTTCCACGTTTCTGGCTGTCATGGGAATATTTGTGGGGAGATCTAATCTAAGAGATGAGATACTCAGAGCATACTAGAGGTCTCAGAAAGGAAGAAGGGGACATAGTCCCCATAAGAACAAGGAGAAAGCATATTGCTTCCTGTTGACTGAGCCAACAATGACACTCTGAGGCGTTCTTTCCCTGCCCGTGGCTGGCAGCTTTGCCAATTGACAAAACTCAAAGAGGATGGAGATCCAGGTACAGCGGACCCACTTGGATCCACCTGCTTCTGGAAGCCTGGGCTCCTACCTCATCTGGGACACAGTGAAGTGATGCTGCAGCTTTACTGCCAAGTCCCTTTGCCGGGTGAACAGCTCCTTCTGCTTCAGCAGAGACTGAAGATTTTCCTCAAGTCTTTGATGTTCCTGTTCATTAGAAGATTGTGTTTTTAGGGGAGGTTTCCTCACCATGTACATAAACATGCATTCTCTCTTCTCTCCTCTCTTCTCTCTCTCTCCTCTCCTCTCCTCTCCTCTCCTCTTCGCCCCTCCCCTCCCCTCCCCTCCCCCCCTCTCTCTCCCCAGCACAAACATGTATATGGATGCATACATACAAGCACACTACACTCCATCCACACTTAGTTTCTGAGAAAACACTAATGTAAGAAGAGATCACCTGGGATACTATGGAGAACAAAGTTACCTTTGATTAATCTATACCCTCTCTACCCATATTCCTGCACAGAGGCAGGAAACACAGGATGCTTTGAGCACAGGGATGTGGAGAACATTGTGTATTTTTACTCAGTTTTGATAATTTTTCATTTTATTTTTTGTTTATATGTGCAGGTGTTCAGCCTGCCTGTGTATCTGTATAACATGTACATGCCTGGTGACCTGGGAAAAGAACTCAGTGGGCAGATAAGTGAATGTACTGCTTGCCTTGAAAACCTGTACACAGACAGGTGAACACCAGGGTTCCTTGATCTGTAATCTAAGCTCTCCTAGCAAGTTCCCCAGTCAGTGCATTGAAGGCTTAGTTCCCCAGCACAGGACCACTGGATGGCATTGGACCAGCCCCTTGCTCTTACTCAGTGCTTTCCAGTGCTTCCAAGGAGGTTCCTCTTAAAAGAGCTCTCTGTACCACAGGTTGCCTCCATTTAGGCCCAAAGAAATGAGCCCAGAAAACTAGAAAATCTCTACAATCCAGAATCTATATTAAACTTTCCTCCAAGTAAGTTGATTGTGTCAGGGATTTCTTTGAGTAACAGAAGGTTGACTAACTCATGGCCAAATGACTGCAAATATCATTCCATACTTAACAATATCCCATGGACCACATTGTATGTTTGCACTCATCAGTGGTGGATATCTGATAGTTTCTAGTTGGGCTGTTCTGATGAGTCCTGCTGTATCCCTGTTGTCCCCTATTCTCTGTGGACACCACTTTCCATTCTGGAATCAATGCTCCACCCGAAGACTGCAGTTCCACTTTCTGAATAATTGCACATAGCTTCTCACAGGGCTGCACCATTTTATACTACTAGCAATGTCTGAGAGTTCTCATTTCACCCAATTCTCCATCAGGCTGAATTTAACTCAGGATGAAGACGATTGGAATAAAAGAAGTTTCTGAGTGCTGCAGGCACAACATGGAGTGGGTACTTGAGAGTATGATGAGCCTAAGTGGTGCGCAAAGACAACCTCATCTCACACCTCAGCATAGCTGTCAGACTTTTGCTGGGCTGGGATGCAGCCATAAGCCCCTCTGCAGTTCAAAATTTCTCTGAGAATAAAGTCCAGGCCAAGATCCAAGGAACAGGTTAGCTGAACCAAGGTTAGGCAAAGGTGAAAGGAAAATGGCAGCAGGCGAGGTGGAGAAGAACAAAACAGGATGCAGGGAAGTCATCAGTGGTCAGCCTCCTTTCACCCAGAACAGAGAAGGATACAATCCCACGGCAACCTTTCCTGCCTCTCAGTAGCATCTTTCTCACCGTCATGGACCTCATTACTTAGTTTTTCTCCAGATTATTTCTTTGCAGATAAATAATTCTGGCTCTACAAATACCTGAAAAACTTTTAGCTTGCATCAGTTATGTGGCCTTTGGTTGTAGTTAGCTGTATGGACATGCAGAAGGATGGGCAACTCCATCTGTTCTTTGACGGAGGCAAAGTGGTACTAACCAGATTAGGCACAGTACTTTCCCATTGAAATCCATCTCCATTATTCTTAAAGATGTTCCATTGTTCCGTGAGAGAGTGAACATACACATACAGGCTCAAACACATATTCTCATTCCCCAAAGATACACATAACAACAACAACAGCAACAACAAGAACATACACACACACACACACACACAC